ATACCTACCTTCAACTCTGTGTCATTTAAATGATAATTTATGACCATGTTGCTTATCCTACGAAACTGATCCCTTAAGAAATCTAATACTGAGTGAATGTTTTTTCTGTTAGCCTAATATTCAATGCTGAGTATTGAGGACAGGGGCGTAAATAAAGACAGTGCAGACAGGGTGATTGCACCGGGACCATGGGGTGGAAGGGCCTGTAGAGAGAGCGGGCCCTTGCAGGTGATTCAGATTGCCACCTTGAATTTATTCCTGTGTTCAAAGAGGAATGATAAAAAATAATGTTCCTAATTTAAAAAATGGTTTACTTTTCCATTTTTATTCTTTTTAAATAGTCAGTAGCTATCTAAAACAAAATTATAAGCTTTTTCTACATAAGCTATAAAATCTATTAATAAACTATAAAAACTATTTGATTAAATGATTCATTTTCTTTGACGTTTTTCTCAGATATGCAGTGATGATTGCTGGGTAATATGCATGTTGATGTTGTCCAGTGTCACGTCTCTATTTGTGTCAAGACAATACATGCATGATAGTGTGCACTGGGGCCCATTGTAACTTCCTTACGCCACTGACTGGGGAACACATTTACTTGGCATGGGTGGAAATCCTTGATTTTGAAATCAGAGAAGCTCAGACTAACATTGCATGGATTCTGGAGTCTGCTACATTCTGTGAACCAGCACAGTAGTGATGCACAGGTTGGGGTTTTTTAAAACCCACACCAGGCCAGCCGTTTATAAGAGTGTGTGTTCATTTTTGGATGAAAAATGAATAAATTTATTCAACCCTATTGTGTGGTGGTATGAATGAATCTGATATCTGTTTTGCAGCTGGAACCTGCAGTTTATTTTCTGAACACAACAAAACTGAGGAAGCTGTGGCATCAACCGAGGCAGGCGCATCAGCCAGGTCAGGCCGGGTTAAACATCTCAGTAGCTGCAAGTAATAGTCTTAGCTCCTACATGTAGTATAAAAAAAATAGGTGCCAAGATTAAAATGGTAAGATAAGACAATTTTTGTATCTTTTTCGGTGACAGGAGTGAAATTAGTCATGCTCAACATTTGTTGTGTTGTTGTTTTAGAATGATGAAGACAGTAGGAGAACAATTCAGTTCCTCTCCCACTGGACAAAAAAACCCCTCTCACACCCACTAACATCTGGCTTTTGTATTTAATGGGAACGGTTACAATCAGCATTCACTCTCAGGTCAAATGACTCTGCAGTAGTCATGGGTTATTTATCACCTCCAGCTCCAATCAGCTTCAATCGGCAGTGACTGAAATACAACACCCAAGTGGACGCGTTAATTTTAGCCCCAATGCTGGCGCAATGCAGTGACACACCACCACAACATACCATCCATCTCTATCCAAGCAACACTTTAACATTGTTCAAAATGTATTCTGCACCAAGATTTAAAGAGAAACTGAATAAGTAAGAGACATATAAAAAGAAGCAACCACAATGACATTTTCACTGGCCTCCATGCTGCTTTTTACTGTTTACTGACCTGTTTTCCAGCTCATTGTTGAATTTGACACACCAGGAAAAAAAAAAACCTAAAGGCATACTTGTCTGGTCTACTGGCAACAGGAAAGCAATCTATTGCCTATTTTCAACCCAGCACACACGCACTGATTTTGGTTTAAAAACAGTATTAGATACAAAACAGGATGTAGGCTCTACAGAGTGATTTTATTCCTTAGCAACTGTCGCATTTTTCCTGAATAGACCCCCATAAGTTTGGGCTGATCTCTGAAGATTTACAACATCTGGCAATCCCCACAAAAAATACATAATAATCTTGGCAGAAGATTTGTCCAGCGGTTCCAAATGTTTTGTGCCTGCCACACCTTACAGAACATCAGTGTACAGCTTGGGCTACTTAATATAAAGTATTCAAAAAACAGTTCCACGTTGACCAGCAACAAAAATAAAAAGCTACTTAGGCATTGATGCACCAGTGTGAAAATCCAATAATGTAATCATGACAAATATATATTAGTCATGGGTCAGTCATTGATACTTTATGTACATTTTGCCATTAATAGTTCTGTACTTTTACTTAAGTAAGATTTTCAACACAGGACTTCCACTTGTAATGGATTGTTTTTAACATTTTTGGCTGTTTAAAAAAGAAAGGACCTGAGTACTCTGTCTTCCACTGAAGAGTGTTGGCTTGGGCGCTGAACATGAAGCGGTACAATGCCTCAACAACACACTGAAATAGGCAAAAAAATAAGAAAAATCCACGAACCCTGATAAGCTTTTTCAAGGTAAAGGTGTGCTATGAATATGCATATAAAGTTATAACATGTAAGCAGTAGCACACACACACACACACACACATACACACACACACACACACACACGCGGCTGTCTGCCTCTCTACCTCAGGCTGCACATGCAAGTAAAGGTATCTGTTCACACTAAATTTGTACAAACTGCAGAGGATTTCATAAAGTCATAAGACACAGGGCTATGAATCAGAGATTACTGGAAGTCAAAATAAATATTTTGTATGGTGCACTGGGATTTAGGCTGTAGTTGATTATCAAAGGGAATAAGCCTGAGGACAATAACTTATACTGGCTGGCCCATCACTCACACTCACAAGTCCAGGATCATCCCTGACATCACGCAGGGATGTTTTCCAGGAATCCCTTTGATATCAGTGCAAACTAAGGAGGCTGGTGCCCAGTAGCAACTGTTTGCCCATGGCCAACCAAAGAGGTTAATCCAGACATGGGTTTAGGTCTAATTCAGATTTATAATGAAATTAAAAACGGCAAGTAAAGTGAATTTCGGGTTCTGTTACAGCATGAGAGAGCAACTCACCTGATTCCCAAATACTCCAATGGAGCAGGCGGTGGAAACCTCATCCACGCCGAACCACACCGACGCCAGGCGCGCGGGCATCCCGAGGATGAAGACCTGGGCGAGGGAACTTGCAAACTGTCCCAGCATGGTCACCCCAAACAGGTTGGGTTTGGCACTGGCTACCTTGATCCATGTCCCGACGCAGTTAAGCGTGTTGGCGAGCAGCGCTGTGACCCGCAGCCCTTTCTTATCCAGGAGCCAGGTGACCGGGAAGATGAAGGGGATGTAGGTGAGCATGTAGATCATGGACAGCCAGTCGATGGCGAAGGCTTCCACCTTGTAGAACTTTATCATGATGTTGCTGATGATGCCGTACTGGATCCATTGGTACGCGTTGCTCAGGGAATACGCGCTGAACAGGAACACAATCACCCAGCGCCTCTTGTATAGACGCGTAGTGGCCGCAGAGCCGCTGTCACCGTTTGGGATGCTGCTGCATTCAATTTGCTCCGCGGCATCTGGACCCCCTGTACCCAAATGTGGACCATTATTCACCGCATCCTGTGCGCAACTGTGCTGCGAGGCCCGCTTATCCTCTCCCATTCTTCTGCTTGAATTCAAATGAGCACACTTGGAAGGAAAATAAGTCTTCACCCCCGCAGCAGCCTATTCTGAAATGTCTTTCAAAATGCCCTGAATATAGACATGGAATAACATAAGTGACAATGAAAATGTATCTAAAGATCACTTTTGTTCCAAGTAACAGACCAAAAGCAGAAAACTTCAGACTTGACTCCAGAGGACTGACCTGCTCTCCACAAGTTCATTTAGGCTAATACTTGAGCTGTATGAGAAATCCTTTTTATTACACACTCTAGCCTTCGAGCTGACCCGACTTTTACTCCACCCAGCTGCTGAGATAAGAATTGACAGTGGCTGCAAGAGGGACACATCTACAAGTAAATCAGCACACAGGAGACAGACCAAAACCTGTAGGCAAAACAAACAATTGTATTGACGCATGGTGTCAATACTTTAGTTTGTCTGTTTCAGCTCAATCTCCTAATGCCGCATTGCATCTTACAAGCATGTCACAACAGTATTTTATCCAATTATATTCTTATAATGTATCATAAAGTTGCTATTACTTCTCTACTTGGAGTCTTTTCTCTTGCCTCAGTCATCCCCTGCTTAATCTGCATGTTAAATCCCCCTGCTTAAGAACAATGAGCACCTTGTTACTGCCTGTGTGTTTGCTGTTAGTTATGCTGTTCTTATATACTTACATTTTTTCCATAATAGATCAAATGTGGATTAAATGTCAAGTATAAACTCAAGAAATGTAATTACCTTACACTATTGGTCCCCCCATTTGGTTTAAAAAGAAAAGGCATGTCAGTAGTTTGATGACTGGATTACACATCAAGCGAGGGGAATAAGGTTAAACATTGAATATGTTATTTTACTTTATGAGACATACAGTTTATTTTACAAGGTTTTCCTCTGTTATAATGTGTGTAGAAAACCCCAGAGTTGAAACAAAGCTCTCTCTTGTGATCCCTCACTCAGACTTCTATCTTAAAACAATATTAGTGGAACTCTAATGCTAAGGCACCGACAAAACTTTATATTTATAAATGGTTTGTAAGACAGGCAATAACGTAACATGCAAACTCAACAGCTTCCATTTTGGTGTGGTGATGCTTGTATTACTATACAGAAGTGGACATGTATGGAAAAATGCTCATGTAATGACAGTGAGTGACTGAATGTGTTAAAACTGAGACACATTGTTGAAACTGCACCTATTTTCTCAAGACATCTCAGGCTGTTAATCATCTGTTTTGTACATGGATCAGTATGTTCATAATGTATTTCTTTACACTAAAAGTATGGGGAAAATTTGCATGTGTTGTTATTTATAGTGGTTTCACTGGTCTGGTCCACTTAGGATCAAACTGGGCTGTATGTAGCCCTAAACTTAAAATGAGTCGAACACCTCTGGTCTACACTCAGACAGCTGATGTGTAGATGTCCACGGTTAATCAGGTTGTGCTGCTACTAACCACCAGATGGCACCATTTACCAAAGAGTTTGACCATGAATACTTTCACCTAAAACATAATAAATAGTTGACACATTTTCAATTTGATAGGACTCCAAAAAATTCCAGTAAAAAAACAAACTAAACATTTATTTCTTAAGGAAATACAAAATGGGATTTTCTGATAGCTTATATGCTTATATAACATCATATACAAAAGTATAAAAAAACATAATTGGTAGTAACAATATGGTAACAGAAAATAAAGTACAATGTAAACAGTCCATATATATATATGTGCATACATGACGCCTGCGCCAAAACATAGGGAGAAACAAGAAAAGGGATCAACCACTCTGCCACAGAGTGAATGAAAACAAAAACGATCACGATTTCTGACTGTGACTGTCTGTGGGTGTAAATATTTGCTCTAGAAAAATAGAGAATTTACTATTTTATTAAGTGAATGAGTAAATTGAACTAAATTTATCTACTAAGCCCACTTAAAGTTCATATGATTCCCAGAGTGCTTTTTAGCAAAGGCAAGACAATCCAAGTAATTTGGGACATGCAGACCGAGAGGTATTGCAACCCCTCAATAAAGCAAGATATCTGTTTGTAGTCTGACCAAATAATACCCTCCAATCACTGTTGTTTTACGGTATTACTCCTGCCTCACATGCTGTTTAAACAACATCAATGTAACTGTGGATAGTTTTATGAAATATACAGCTGTTAAATCCGATGTAGGTCAGTTTAAGCTTTGACTTTAAAGGTCCAGTGTGTAGGATTTAGGGGATATACTGGCAGACATGGAATATGATACCGGTAAGTGTGTTTTCTTTAGTTTATAATCTCCTGAAAATAAGTCTGGTTGTGTTTCTGTCACCTTGGAATGAGCGGGTCCTCGTCTAGGGAGATTGCCATGTTGCACCTTTAGATTAAAAATGATGGAAGTAGCTACTGTAACATCACCCACTGGTGTGCGGACTGCCATTTTAAAGCCTCGAGTTCGGCATTTTGGCCGTCACCATCTTGTGTTTTTTGGAGCCAGAAGTAACCGTATTTGGAGGAGAGACTGGCAGATTTGACTCATTGACTGTGGCGAGGCCTTGCAGGCAGCCTGTCACACAAGCACCCCTGCCCTTAAATATGCCTAACTTTGGGCCTTAATAAAATATAAATGGGTGAGTTACGTTTGTTCTAGAGAGGAAGAAGACCACAGTGGATAATTCGGCTCCTGGTAAAAACCTCCTGATCAATGAACACTGAAGGAATTCTAACTGGGAGAAGTTTCAGCTGGTTGCAACTTCAATCCTCACTGCTAGATGCCACTAAATCTGCCTAAATCTTACACACCGCTCCTTAAAAAAATCACTTGTCATTTGTTAAATCACCAAATGAATTGCTGCAATGACTGAGCTGATATTAACCACTGATGTTTTTTGATAGTGGAATAATTCTACTTTAGCTGCTGGAAATACGTTGAAGCAGTAGCTAAAGCTAAGAAGAGATAGAATATGAATCCATCATGAAACAACAAACTAAATGTATGGAATGGAAAGCAATGTGCCAATACCTGTGTGTGTGTTATTTTGTTTAACTTCATACTGACAGGGGCTGGAGCTCTGATGACCACCATGACATATACATGAGAAAGCAAGAGAGACAAACAAAAAGATAACAAGAAGTTTGAAACAATGTCTGATGTTACTGGATCCACATTGTGTGGCATAACGTTCTGTAGGTTAAGATGGGAGGACTTGGCTAGATCTCCTCCATGACCAAGGCCCAAAGCTAAGTGCTGCTAGTTGGCTGCTTCTTCTCGACTGCAAACTGTAAGAGAGTCGATGCACCTTCACTTGGCCTCCAGCTGCTGCAGCAGGGGGTTCGCCTCGCTCTCCGGGGTTTTGACGCTGTCTGTTCTGACAATACATGTGGGGCGGTGCCGGTTAAGCATGAGGATTAGCTGCTGTCGCTCCACCTTCAGCTCCTCGATCTGGGCTTTAAGGTCAGAGTTTAACATCTCTAGTCTCTCTGATTCCTGTGAGAGGGTAGAGAGAGAAGAAGAAGAAGAAGAAGAAGAAACAGAAGGAGAAGAAGGACAGGAAGAAGAAGAAGAAGATATACATAATTTATCCCTGTAGAGTTATCGGACAGTTAAAACAGTGTTGCACAAAATTATAGGTAGAAAAAGTATTTGAAAATGTTTTGGAAATCACAACCAATATGATAAATATGTGAGGGTCTGAAATAATGAAAAAATGATAACCTAGGTATGTCTTACCTTTTGTAGATAATCTGTTCTCTCTTTCTTTTTGTTTCGACATCGAGCTGCAGCCACTTTGTTTTTCTCTCGCCTTCGTTTCCTTCTCTCCTCCTCTTCATCTCTCTGAACAACAAAAGGTTTGAGGTTAAGTTGGAATGTACACTGGGAGACTCTCCGAGTTTCAGTGCAAAGTGATGATGAAATTATATTAAAAAATATCATCTCACCTCCTTTATATTACACTGTCATTTGACTATAATGGCAGTATGTTTTGACTGTACCCTCTTCACTATCATAATCAATAAGCAAAGGGAACATAAATGTAAAGAACAAATTTCCATTTGTTTCCAACTAACATTGCATGCATGTCGATCTGTCTCAGTCACAGAATGCATGTTCAATCTGTTTAACACCTGGGTCCGTGTCCCCTTGAGGGTCCTCAGTTATTTCAGAGGGGCTGCAAAAATTATTGTTTGATAATTTAATTCAAAATTCAAGTTTCATTTTGGTCAAAAATTAACATATGTCTCAAAATACACACTGACACCAATCCAAGATATTATTAGCAAAGACAAATCTGCCTTTTCATATAAAAAGCCATTTCATTTACACTGATGATTTAACATTAAAACATGATGTATATGAATTTGCCAGTGATTATTATTTTAAACGCTTAGTAATACATGAACCACAAAAGGTTATGTTTATACATGGCACTTTTGATTGCTCTTCACATCACTACAGGCCGAGTTTAACGTGCAACTCAATCTTATACAATATATGTAGTAAGGAGTCCCTGCTCCACCTCTCTTTCAGGTCCCTGGTCTGAAAAACATTGAAGACCCCTGGTTTAACATGAATTTGATTAGTATGAAAGCACTGCATTCTCGAAATGATGCAATAACATTTACAAGACATAACTGAGCCCATATGTTAAGCCTTATTTGCGGTGTTTATATATATATAAAACTTATGACAAAGTTTTCATATCACCATTACTTTTTCCCTGGACATCCATGGTGGAAAGACCCCAGCAGTATATTTAACAACAGTATCATTGCCACTATATCCACTAGGTGGACCTGTTGATTAAGATATGACACGATGTAATTGCAAGGCATACCTGTTCATGATACATAATTGGATGTTTTACACATACATAAGATAGAGCCAGTGTAATAGAATTTGAATACTGTATTTGGTTTGTTGCATCTGTTGTTTTTACTGCAGCTGAATCCCATAAAGTGATGACATATATGTCTAAAAGTCAGTAAGGAAAAAGCATGCAAACTTGTCTAAAAACTCAAAGTATACTGTTTATATTTACGCAGTCTTGCTATCTGCTCCTCAGTGTTTCTCATACCTCTGTTTTTATCACTAGGGGCCTCTTCCCCAGACTGTCCAGGAAGTGCAGAGGTGACAGCATTGTACCGAATTCCTGGAAGTCACCAAATTTGAGCTTGTCAGTCAGCGTGGTGGCTGAGATCCCAGCCAGTGGGCCCAGGCTGGGCAGGGAGCCTGCTGTCACAGAGGGATCTGGGATTTGTCCTGGCATCGCGTCAGACTCGGTCGTGACCACAGCTAGGAGGCAGAAAGAGAGAAAATGGAAGACATACTCAGACGGCAGCTAAACCAGATCAATGAAAAACACATAAAACTCAGTCTGCTCTGCTTGTTATAGCATGTACTTTATGATATGAGGGTAGAAAAAGCCATTTTGGAATAACAAATTAGCAGCAAATAGACATGCAAGAGCGTTCTTCAACCTACAGTCTGTAACAGGGCTTCACAAAGGCATTTGCCTGAGGTGCACTGCTCCTTTCTAGCATTAAGGCTCACTGTGATGAATTGCTGGTCTGTTATAGGAGCCGGATGCTGAGGCCGCTCTCATTAGGACATTTTATTATTTTGCTCCTTTTTCTGGAATGAATATACAACCATATACAGAGACCTTGGCTAGAATTTACCTTATTTAATCCCCAGAGGCCAAAAGACAGATAAACAACAGTGCACAGATTCAGACAAAATCCCCCTTATTTCCAGGAGAGCTAAAACTAGCCACTGCCAAGAAACACCCGTTAGCAGTGGTTTCCTCCTCCTGAGACTTAATGTCAGGGAGGTAAAATGCGCCTGCCAAAATTCAGCATAATGTGGCAAAGTATGAAACCAAATTTAACTTGTTTTGTTTGGTTTAGCCGCATAAAGAATTAAAGTTGACACTGTTTACTTGCACAGACTCTCGCTGTGTTTTGCATTGTCAACTACTGGCGAATGCATTAATTTAAAAAATGCTGATCGTGAACATTTTTAAAAAATATCCAAAGACAATGAGAGAGGTGTGAGAGAGCAACACCAGCCAAATATACAGGAAATTACTACAACAGCTCAGCGGATTTCCAAGCCACATGATGCAGCCAAAAGCTACTATCTAAGGTCAATTACTCAGAGACCTTTAGTGCACACTACAGGAATAAACAATATCTGATACAGACATCACTACAGGAAACAGTTTGCTGTCATCTGTGAAGGCAAAGCTATAGGAATTCTGAGGGTAGAGCTTCTGTACGCCAATAATGTGTGTACTTAAAGCTTATGCAAAGAACACGAGAATCGCACATGGGAATAACTTTCAGTTTTCACACTTCCCTAAACTGCAGGTCACAAAGACAAAGTGGAACTCTGCAGGCCATGCTCTTGGCACATGATTGGCAAAATGAGTCTTAAAATGGTGCAAGAGACAGTAGAGGTAATTTGTGATAAAGTGCTTTGAATATTTGGTTTGAATTTTTCACTGAGAACCAAAAAAAGACTCTTAAACAGTCTCATAAAAAAGACTCCAAAGCACAAAATATAGATCTGTGACTGTCATTTAAACAGTGGTGGAATGTAACTACTCAAGTACTGTACTTAAGTATTAGTAAATTTGAGGTACTTCTACATTTCTTTCTACTACTACTCCACGAGGGAACTCATGTATTTCTTACTCCACTGCATTTATTTGATAATTGTAGTGACTAATTTCTTTACAAATTAGGATTTTTGCACACAAAACACATAAAAATGAACAAGTGCAGCTGAAACAATGAGTCTACTGATCAGAAAATGAACTGGCAATTATTTCGATCAAGTAATTTTTCATGCAAATACATTTCATGCCTCCAGCTTCCCAAATATGATGACTTTCTACTCTTCTTTTTAAACATTATTCTGATTTATTAAATTTACTTAAAATGTTCTGCACTGAGTACTTTTACTTTTAATACTTACAACATTTTTAATGCAGGACTTTGAGTATTTTTTACAGTGTGGTACTGGTACTGTTACTTACTTCCTCCACCACTGCCATTTGAACATTTTATGGTTCCCAGCAGGAGTTTGATTAAAACAACTATTAGACATTCTCTTGTAATGGTAACTTTATTACACCCTGAAGCTCCAAGAAGCCAATTAACTCATCCTGATTAGAGCCTGATATAATTATTTGTTTTGAACTCTATGCACTTTAACATGAGGGAGCCCACGGTTGGTTTATGAATATGAATTTCCAGTGGTTTAATACAATGTGTAGTCATCTCTACAGTGTGTTGCAGCGTGCATACTGAAGCCATTGGTCAACTTGAAAGCGGAAGTTTTTCTTCAGTGCGGCATTCATCTTACGTAACTTTGTCTTCCCATCAGAGGGCTGCAGTGATAAAACCTTACAGCTTTTCTTACACAGCGGATTACGCCTCAAAGATGAACCACGTTATAAGAAACAATGCACAACCTAAATGTGAAGGATACACAGCACTATATAGGGACATTTTGTTCTGAACTGTGCACGCTGTGACTCCATGTAAGAGCAGCATGCAAACAATAGAAAAAGATCTTTCTGTAGCATGCACACTAAGATGTCAGGGATACTTGGAGCACCCTAAAAAACACGTCCAAGTCAGACTGCAGTGAAAAGCACCGTCTAACCCGAAACATCACGGAGCTCCTCGCCGCCTGTTCACAAACTCTGCTGCTTATGACCTATGCGTGGCGCGCCAATAAGCCTATTTAGTATGTAAAAATTATTCAGCTCTCGGCTCGTGAAGTTTTCTGTATACCGACCTGACTTTGATCCCAGGTGCAACAAATGTCCTTTCTTCTGGTCAGCCGAGGGTCGAGAGTAAATTTTAAAAAGTGGGAATCGTTGCATCAGCCCGATTTTAAACGTGATCCCAATCTGGGAGGATTTGGGAATGCGGAAATTAGGCTATGCCAGCCAAACGTAAGCAGGGATGTAAAAAAGTACATAGTGGGGGCAGAAGTGGGGAAGTCGCACCGCTCCTCCCATAAAGAAACACTGAGGCCGCATGCATGCTGCGGAGGGAGAAGACGGCTCACATGGAGGCCTGCACTGGAAATACAGTACACATGCCAACATATAACCGCTAAATAATCTTTAACAGGCTTTTTAAAAATATGAAATCACTATATTCCTTTATGATGATTCGAGTATTTCATTAGCACTTTCACCTCAAATCTTTGCATATTAAAGGTACACTGCAAGCTCCTTTGTAGCAGTATTGGGGGGACCATATGAAACAGGGTTTGGAGGGGGGCAATATTTTGAGCATCAAACATGCATCAATTTATGGTGTAAATGTCATTTTGTAAAGTAAAAGTCCTCTGCAACTTTAATGTCTTTTGGGACAAAGCCCTTCTGTGCAGAGTTTGCATGTTCTCCCCATGTCAGAATAGGTTTTCTCAGAGTACTCCAGCTTCCTCCCACAGTTCAAAGACATGCAGGTAAGGTTAGGCTAGCTGACTCTAACTTGCCTGTAGAATGTGAGCGTGCATTGTCTGTCTCTATGTGTCAGCCCTGTGATAGTCTGGCGACCTGTCCAGGGTGTACCCGCCTCTTGCCAAATGTCAGTTGGGATAGGCTCCAGCCCCCCTGCGACCCCCCTACGGGTAAGTGGTTATGGAAAATGAATGAATTAATGTCCCTTGCATCCCCCCTGAAATCTACACCCATGGTGTTTAGAATTAGAACCTCATACTTTAAATTTATTGGCATGTCAATTTAACATCCAAGCTGATCCATTTAATACTTTCACCTTGACTAAGCAACAGATTGCAAACACCAAACACCACTCTGAATGTTGATTTATTGTAATTATTCAGCAGCATAGATAAGCAATCAATGCTCATTTTTACTCTTTTTTTTAAGTTTAACAAATAAGTCAAAGTCTGAAAGGTAAAAAAATAAATCATAAGTTACATCTTGATAAGATATATAGTATAGCACTGGATGTTTTCATGGAAAACTTTCAATGAGGTCAAACCACAGTTGATGACATTGAGGTACGCAGGTACTTGACATGGATGAATATGTAAATACAACATTTACAGCAATCGATACACTGTTGACACCAAAACACAAAACCATACTGATACATTAAATTCCACATTACATCTTAGATCTAGTAACAGATCGTATAGATATATATATATATGTATATATATAGGCTTTGAAAATGATTTGGAATTTCTCAGCATGCGTTTTAAAATCAAAACTTACTCCAGTTCCTCCTGTAAAAGCAAAAGCCATGCTTTTGGCTACATCACTCTGTTGGCTATGTATCTGGAAATAAAGTTTATATGTTTGTTTAGTCACACACAAGACAGTTCATGAATGTACTCCTTGAAGTGTTACAGCATATGTTGGTCATATCGTTTTAAAGTCAAAGGACCTGCAAACAGAAAGAGAAACAGAGAGATCACACAGATCACTTCCCTCTGTACATTATAAGGCGAGGAGAGTTGGAGAGTTGAGGATGTCGACAGACTCAGCTTTGCCCCCTCCACCTTTATGACTGTCTAGTTCCTCTGTGAGAGAGTCCAGCTCGGGACACGCGAATGTGAACACAGACAGGTAGCTGCTGCAGGTGGGGGTGGAGGTCACCACAGGAGTGCTGAGAGGCTCCAGGTCGCTGGAGACAGACTTGTACAGGGTCTCCCAGTCCGAGACCCCAAGAGAGCTGCTCAGATCTATGTCTGGCACAGATCGAGCCGTCTCCAAGGGGGTTTTCTCCTCCAAACTGGGGAGCATATTTTCCAGTAGCCCCTCCTTAATGTCCAGGGAGGGCTCAAGATCGCAGATGTTGATTTCAGCGCTGGCGCACAGCAAGATATTGGAGTTCCCAGAGATGGCTGTGGACGGATCACTGGGGATGTCCATGTCCTGGAGCGAAGGAGCTTCCTGGGTGCCATCCTCTGGAAGTCTGTCCTCGTCTGGACTGGGCAGTAGCCCCGGGGACTCTGTGGGCTCCTGGAAAATAGACTCCAATTCTTCTGTCATCTGGCACACTGGCTTGTGTGTGGCAAGGATAAATTCAAGCCGCTCTTTCTCTTTGATGAGGTTGGCTATTTCCGTCTCCAGGGCTGCTTTTTCCTCCTCCAGCTTGTCTGTCTCCTTCAGATAGATCGACATCCAGAATCATCCACATTGGAAAAACAACACACAACCAGTGGGTGCGAATGACAGCTGAGTAAATGCATCACTGTTTACTTACAGTTTGCAGTGTATCTGTGAGTTCCCTCCGTCTGTTGCGACACTTTGCTGCAGCCATTTTATTCCTCTCCCTCCTCACCCTCTTTTTCTCTTCCTCCTCTGGAGACAGCTGGAATGCAAGAGAAATAATTCAGTTATTACCTTGAAGAATCCAGACATTTCATCCTCTAATCCGCAACATCCGATGCCAATTCGCCCCCTGAAGAATGGCAGAAGCATGTTTCGCTGCAATGCGTCTAAAAATAGACCATTGTTGCAGACTTGCTGTGACCTGAATATAAATTGACTGCCTAAGGAAGGCACACAGCCAACACACAGCACCAGAGGAGCATGCACAATAGCACTGTTGCACACAAGGAATTCAGATTGGCATATGTAAATGTATACTATTGACTGTTCTGTCCAATGGCAGGTAGACTTCATCTGAGCTAACCTACCTGCTCTGTTTTCCCCTTTCTGACAGCATTTTTGCCCTTACTCCCGCCCACTTTGGGTGTTGCCTGGTGAGAGCTTTGTGGTTCATTGGCTTGCTTGCTACCCAGAGACGGGGAGACAGATGTAATAATCGTAGGCTGGACCATCCACTGGAAATCTGGGGTAGAGGAAATTGCAGTGACTGTTGGAACAAATGGAGTGTCTTCAACGCTCATGTCCTGGCAGAGCTCCTGAAAAAAAAAGAGGAAATAATCAACAATGAGGACTATAAGAGATTTTTTAAAATATAAATCTGTTCCAATATTGTTATCTGAAGTGGATTTAATTGTGATGACAATCATCAATGAAACCTACAAACCACATGTTTAGAGTCTTAAACAGAGGGTATCCTGCATGTGTTTTATTGTCTTGAAATATACTCAACCAGAAATAGCCTTCTTCAGATCAATATTTGACTTTATCATTGTTTCTGACGTCAACACTGACGCAGAAGTGCTGTGGAGTCTCCTGAATGGATTTATTTTTCTCAATGAACCGCTGCATCGACACGCTCACATTTGGTCCCAGGACGTCGGAATCATAACAATCCGAACAACACTGCTGTTCTATCACATTCCCACCCGCGCTCACCTCTGCTCACATCACATATCAAACGTGTAAAAAAAAAAAGGTGTTAAAAAATTAAGCGCACCCAGTTAATTAAATCTTATCAATCAGTTCCACCTCCCCCTCCCCCCACCGCGGAGATAAAAAAAGCATTCAGTCTGTGGATCACATTTAAAAATGGATGTTTCAATCTGCTTGTAGACTGAGCAGCGCCTCCTGGGCTGCGTGTTGAATGTATGATCAACAAAAGCCATTCATACCTTTGCTTTGCTCTCTGAGGAGGAAGCTGGAGAGCTCGCCTCTTCTGGCGTCTTCTGGCAGAGTGTCCCGACAGGAGACTCTGTCCGGCAGGTGGGGGAGACTGAATCCATGTCAGGCTTCAGGTTGTTGTGATACATCGCGAGGAGAATAAAAAAAAGCCCCACAAGTCCTGATCAATGACAAATATGACTCTGGCCTTCCGCTGAGCAGAGCGGCTCGGGTCTTTTCTCCAGGTATATACCTGGTAACTGGACGACTAGGATGCAAGCCCCTCCTTTTATGCTCTGCTAGAATTTTATGAATGAACGAAGACTGTACCATCCGCGGAGGGGGAGGGGGGCAGACTGACAGCCACACAGGCCTACATTTCGGCTTAAAAAAAAGTATTATTTTTACATTTTCCTATTGTATATATCCTACATTAATTATAACATACATCTCTTACATCTGGTCCTAATCCCATCACAGCACGATGCCAATGGCAGCCTTCACTCCAATTCACAAATATCGGCTTCATATGAATGTAATGTGGGGTGAGAAACGTGAGCCTATTTATAAATACAGATATGTGATCATTTCCTGGGCGATGAAAACTTGATGTTCTGGTGCATCCATTTAATCAAGGGTGAAAGACACTTCATCGCAGCATTAAAATCCCACCACATCCACTTATTTTGTTTGGAAATGTAAATCTAATTTGCAAGGTCGACGCGACGCATTCTGCAGGACCTTTCCAAAAACAAAGCAGCTTGTGTCGTCTTTATTTAGCCTACATATTTCCCTCGCTTACAGCAACTTAATTTCCTCCCCCATTTCATTGTCTTGAAACATACCCCCATATATTTTATAATTGAGGTCTGGCTAACCTCAGAAATATGGGGCTGCCTTCATCCACAGATACGAATCGGTGGCTGCTAGCAGACATAATGAAATGATGCTGAATTGTTTACTTGGGGAGGAGGAGGTGGTGAAGGAGAGGTTGGACATGTGGGGGCGGAGAAGACACGTGACATGACCCGGAACTGGAGGGAGGAGACCAAAGTGGGGGCGGGGGCTGCGTGTGACAGGAGCAGCATCATCATCCTTCACACTCATTACAATAAAGAGACTAACAGCATGAATACAGTTTTCCTGCTGATACCAGTCCTTCTTCTGGACCCGGTGGTTTCTATTACTTTCTACCTGCCGGCCAACTCCTGGAAATGTCTACAAGATGACATCCACAAAAATGTGCTGGTCTCAGGCGAGTATGAAGTCAGTGAGGACCCACACATTGTGACTGATCTGAGGGTAAGTGAACGCATCGCACTGCAGGTGTAACATATGGCAAACATTTAAGACTGTTTGTTTGGGAGGTTTCTTCAATCATAAAGAGTTATTTGTATGTTCGTGTCAAAAATGAAGGACTGAAAATACTAAAAAACAAAACATCCTGCTATAAATTGACCTTTTTTTGTAAATCCTCCCCTTGTGTTTGACGCTTATTAATAAGGGGAAAATGTAAAATCAAGTTTTGATATTTCGGGAGATAAAGAAATATTGATGTGGATATTATCACCAAAAAGGTAGAAGCAATTTTTAAAAATGTAATTCTGATAGAACAGCCTAAAACCACATGTTAAGAAAATTGTGTCATTTTATTGCAGTGCAGCACTTTTAGATCAAGACACAAAAATTAATCATGACATTACAGTCAGTCTTGTTTCATATCAAGATATCATAACATTTGTTTATCACCCAGCGTCACTCCAAAGGCACAAGCAGACCTTGTGGCCCTCCAGTAACTGAGACACTGTGCCAAACCCCTCTGTTACCTCTCTCCCCAGATCACTGACTCTTTGGGCGGCAGGTTGTACAACAAGGACAACGCCACAAAGGGGAAGTTTTCATTCGTAACACAAAATCACGACCAGTTTGACGTTTGCTTCAGCAGCACAGCTCCATTGGGTTGGTGAGGTTTTAAAAATATATATAACTTAAAATAATATGAATGAAATAGCATACAATGATTCTCAATTAATTATTAGTGATAGAGGGATTCAACTCAAATGTACAAATACTTCATAGGTGAATGGGGTGTTGCAAAATCCTACTTATTTTCTGTCACATAACATAATCTGCTGTTAATGCTTGTCATTAGGCAGTGGCAGGGTCAAAGACCAAGTGATCACACTGAACGTAAAGCATGGCGTGGACGCAAAGGGCTACGAAGAGGTGATGGACCGTGTTAATACTGTTAAATAACATATAATGAGCACTATGAGTATTAATTCAAACCACTACTGATGAGGTTTGATGATGAATATAATGTGCAACCCTTTTTGTTAGATTGAAAAACTGGAGAAACAGACCCCCCTTGAGGCGCAGCTACGACATCTGGAGCGCCTCTCGCAGTCCATTGCAGATGACTTCATCCTCTTGAAGGAACGAGGGAGAGACGTGCGACAAACAAATGGTAAATTAACAGAACAATATGTTTGGTGTATATGTAAATGACCACTTGGGCAGAAAACTGCAGCTGCACTGTTCTCTCTGGGCTCACATTTTCTCTTTTGGCCACATGCATGATGTCATTAGCAGCAGATGGAAATCACCTGCTGTTTGGGACGTGACCAAAGGAGGAACAAGCCTTAGGGTAGAACTGAGTGGCAGCAGTTTTCTCCTTTGTGAGATTCATTGCTTGTTGTGTTTTATCTATGAAGTCGACTGAAGTGTTAAAAAAAAATGACGCTATTAAACTGATATTTCCTGTCTTAAACAGAGTCCACCAATGAGAGTGTGCAGCTCTTCAGCATCCTCTCCATCTGCTGTTTTCTTACGCTGGCCACATGGCAGATTTTCTACTTGAGACGATTCTTCAAGATCAAGAAGCTGATTGAATGAATATGTTTTTCCACAAGCCTGAGGGATACTGCAGGACTGCAAGTTTGGGGACATTTACATGGTCGCCACAATGTGCCTTTTGCTGCGTTTCTGATGATGCGTCACATTTCGTCAATGTTTACTTGAAGGGTTCATTTGCAAAAACAGATATGTCCATTTTTATTTTCCAAAATCTTATTTTTTTTTATTGTGCAGTCAAGGGAATATCAATCAAACTGTTGCTGGTGTACTCATTTTAAAGACACCTTTTTATTTTAGTGTTTCCTCTTTTAGTGTATTTGCAAAATGTAATGTTTCTGAAAATATGTTATTTATATAAATAGCAAAGTCTTCCTATGGATTCACAGGTGCCTTATCATAAATAAAATGTTTCAGAGTTTGAATATCTAAGCCACATTTAAAATAAAGTTCACACCCACTTATCTATTTCCATAAAGTTCCCAAGCTTTGTGCATTCTTCTCAGCTTTCGGAGGTTGGGTCTCTGTAACTCCTGCAGGGGACAAGAATGCTTAGTCACCACCAGATTGCTGTGCTGTAAAATGCCTCGAACAGTACATTTAGTACAAAGTTTAGATGTGCTACTTCACTTTAATCTGGTACCTTCTCGTCCATGTCCAAATGGAGGGTGTCCACTAAAGGAGCAATGGATGGACGGCCATGGGCACACTGGAATGGCAGCTGGCAGGAGGACAAGGACGCCACCAAGCTGTGACATTCATCTCTGCTCAGGCTGTCATTGAATTTAATGGCACCTGTTAAATGCATAAAAGTCACTTGTAGGAAGATTTCAGTAGGGAATTGTAATTTTTTTAATCATTAATGCACAAAAAATAGCTGAATGATGGAGAGAAGTTTAAAGTTACCATGGCATGCTAGGGAGGCTAGCACCTTCAGCACAGTGAGAGGCAGAGTTCCTCTCACTCTACCAGTTGAGCGGAGCAACTGAGACGAAAAATATGAAACAATACATGTTACCCTTTATTGAGTTATACAAGACTCTCTCTAAACAAAAAGGTTTAGGGGCTAGAAAGACATTTTCGAACTCACCTCAATCTGCTCTCGAAGATACTCCTGATGTGTGATTATGAAAAAAAGAAGAAAAACAGTAAACTTAATGGGAAGGAGTTGTAAAATGATAACTTGACTAAATGAGTGATACAATGGATGCTCTTCATCAGAGGTTACAGGAGTCTTACCTCAACAATAGGCTTGATAACAGATGGTCTACCCCGCCTGACCTCATTACTCTCCTTTTCCATGAAGCACAGTGGGACCTTCCCGACAAAAACTTGTGGCTCTGCTGCCTGGGAGAACTTTACTTCCAGCCCCAAACTGCGCAAATGTGCCTGACAAGACCTGTAAGAGTAAAGGTCCACTATACATTAGCAATGCAGATAACACAGCTCACCAATAATGGCAATGTAATAATGTCCATGGTATGAAATAAACAGGTTTGAAAAGGGAACAAAGGAGTGTCAAATCTGTCGGCAGTATAGTCAAGGAATTAAACAGAAGGAGCTTAAGTGCTATAGAAGCTGTATGAGGCATTTTGGGGAAAAAACAGCACAAAGCAATAGTGAAAGCTGGTTTAAATCATTTAAAACTTAGCCACTGGTAAGAGTGTAGTTTATTCTGGTTTAGTAGTAGATCAGAATGTCTGAATCACAAAGGGATCAGAGCTCAGGGATATCCTTGCTGTAACCATAATACAAAAGGAAAACCAGGCAGATTGTGGCAGTTACAGAGCCGTCACCTCCTTGTCCACATCAGGCAAAGAGCGTGCTAAAACATTTACTACTTACACTGTCTGACAACTGATGTAATTTTTTTAACAGTGCTCTAAATACTTTATAATAATAATAATAATAATAATAACAACTTTAAGAGATTTAACTAAGGCATCTAATAGTGTACACTCTACTAGTAATACAAGCCGCCACAACATCAGAATGCTGACTCAACTGAATGACGGCATATGATCTAAAGTGCTCCACAACAGCTCTGGGTTAAGACAGGGGTGAAATGAGGCTGCGTCACTGCACCCACCCTTTACGTCATCTTTATTGCTACCATCCTTCACCTCAGTGCCAAAATCTACTGCTGGGTGTCTCAGTTGTTGTGTAGAGCAGCCAGCAGCCAATAAAACCTCAACTAGTTTAAGGCCAACTGCAGGGTAAGTAAATCTGTCAAGCAATGACAATAAGGGGTGGGAATCTCTGGGCACCTCCAGGTTTGATTCTGATTCAGAAAAATGATTTGTGATGCATCAGAACTCTTCATATCTATACATTTGAGATTTGTTTTTTTCACACTGTGTGACTACTTGCTACCTTTAAAACTTAGAATATTTGTAATGATCTATGATACAAATAAACATACATTTACTTCTATTGTTTTTCCTTAATATAACAGTAGTAACAAATGGCGGCCTAGCGTCTTTGAACATAAACATGATGCATATTTGCATCCGTTACGCAAGGAATATTATTCTATTGACTGTTCTGCATCAAAACACAATCTTTCAAGAGAGAACGGCGATGCGTTTAGGAATCAATTTTTTGCTCCTACTCTAAACGACAATGCCATCACACCAAAGTAAAAAACACAAGTGTATCCTGTTCAAATTCACCAAAGCATACAGGTCCTGTATCAGCCATTGCCTAGTCTCGCTCACCGGACCTTTCTCAAGAAAAGAAAGGTCTGGATGCGCCGACTCTCACTTCAAGATTGGAGAAAAAAACGCCCCGGCTTTTTTTATTTCTTTCAACCAATCACAATCGTTCTTGGCGGTGCCACAGCAACGGTGCGCTTGAAAGCTGCTACACAACCGGAGGTGGTAGGGCGGGACTTCAGCGGGTGGCTCGTTCCGCCCAATGAGAGGCTGATCTATGCAGCGAACTTCCGCCCACTCAGACTAGCCATTGCCTAACGCACTACTCATCAAGCCTTCCAAGAAAAGCGGAAAAAATTAACCATTTTCCTGAAATTGGCAGCATTCGCTCCTCAAACATCAGACTCTGACTTATAGATAAATCTTCACATGAAATGTTCTAGGCTAGGTAAGGCCAATCATTTTTGAAAATCATAGCCTGCAGTTTCAAATAAACCTTTCAGAATCTATATGGCGCCTAATCTTGGACAACATACAGAAGGAGAGGGCCAACATGAAATGTATATCCTCAACACAGCACTGACTCTATTGGGCAGGCCACTGATATGTTAGTATTGTATCAAATTTCTTTAGCCAAACTAACTGAGCAAATTCATCCTCTCAAACGTAGTAGTATCTGCCTTTAAGGAGGTGTACTGGTTTTACAGGTATTCTCATTTGCTGATTATATTGTACATATTGTAAAACACACCTAAGCAGCCTCAGCTCTTCTTCTGTTACGCTGATCTCGAGAGGTGGCAAAATGGTTGATGAACACAGACGCCTTTCCCCTGGTGCATCTGGGTCATCCTCATAGGAATCTATGACAGGACATACAATTATGACAACAAGAGCATTATTAATTTGAAGTTTCATTCTCGTAAAATGTGTGTTTGTTTGCTTTTTTTTTTTTTTTTTTTACCTGCAACTAGATTTTCTAGTCGAACTCTCTCGTGTGCAGCATGTTGATCCACCAGCACCAGCAGGTTCCCTGGGGTTTCAATTAAAAGTGCATGAGATGTTGATAAAACAAGTGACCACACAGTGTAGTTCCTGTCTGTACCTTCAGTTTCATCATGTGCTGCTGGCTCTTCATCTCTTGTATTGATAAGACACGCCAGAAACTTCTTATCCACTTGATGAATAACCTATAAGGTAATTAAATGGCAATTACTTCATAACATCAATGAAGGTTAAAATGGCAGAAGCATTGTGATGAACATTTTGTCAGAGTATGCAAAAGGAAACCACAAAAGAAAAGTGCCTTCATTGAGTGAATCATGGCCTTAGAAAAACGGTATGGAAACAGGATGTTGTGGATCTTGACAGCGAGTCCATCAGCTTGCCCACTTGATATGTCCACACCGACCTGTTAGTGCAGTACAGTTCATTATGCATCATTAAAAACAGCATTAACAATACACTTTAGCACAGGAAAAAAATGTAAATCCTTGCAAAATCCTTCTTCTACAACCAAAGATTCACAAGCACATTCTAATATAAAGCAAACAGACAAGTTTTGCTTACCATTGGAGGTCGAACAAACACAGGATTATTCCATTTCGAGTACAACGATGTGAGTGAGGTGGGGCTCTCACCATTGGCATCTTTTTAAGACAAACAAAATTATACATGAACACAAACAAACAGATGTTAATTTTGCATATTGTGTGTATTGAACTCCCTAAAGGGTGTATAATCTGATCTGTCTGTGGGGTACCTCTGTCATCAAGCCCTGTACTAATCACTCTTTCTGTCCTTGATTTAGGCAAGAAGGGCAACACTAGATCCACCTGAAATGGGTAACATCTGTATTCCATCCCTACAGTTTTAAGGAGCAGGAACAACAGCGACAGTGGAGATATCTTGGTTAATTAATGTTGAGTACAACATAACCTGCTGATATGCACATAGAAAAAAAACTACCAACTCACCCATTTCAGAGATGACACTAACTGCCATATTGGTGACATCAGATGTACAGTGCACTTGTGTTTCTTCAGTAGGTGGGTCTTCATATCTGCTAAGTCCAGTCACTTTGTTAACGTAAACCGTCTTTCCCACAGATGCATCGTAGTGGTGAAGCCAGTCACCTGACATTGTAGCCTCTTCCCTCTCAGCCAGCAGAGGATTTGTACTGCAACACGGGACTGGCTCAGGATTCACTGCAGTGTCACCGTGATTCTCGTTGTTATTGCTATCTTGGGTGCCGTCATTACCACCACTTAGACAGGTATTTTCCTGTGAGGTAGTCCTGGACAAGTTGGGTAATACTTTTGAATTGTCTGCCTTGTGTTGTTTCAATTGGCAGAGTTTGGCTGCCAAAGATTTTTTGCTTCTATGCTGCCCTGAGACTGGTTTCAACTTTGTGAAAACTGAGAGCGTTGGTGGGCTTCGGAGGCTGCTCTGTGCCTTTTCTGTTTCCATCTCTGTGACACTACCATCTTGCTGATCTTTCTGGCAAACCAGCAAATTCCGGAGATTCAAAACAAAGCCGTCTGTCTGAGGAAGTCTAAAATTATTCTCTTGATGAGTCTCTTGAGAGGGTAGTTTCAGTCCATCGGATTCACCATATGCTCTCCTAAACTTCTCAAGAGATCCAGGCTCTTTACATAAAGACAACTTTTGACAAGATGCAATTCTGGGAATCTTTGAGGGGATTACAGGAGTGACGTCTTTGTATTGTGTCTGATAAGTTCTGTCCTGGCCCACATCCAGTGAGATTTTGTGTTTTGACGCAAAGGATTTCTTTTCACATTTCTGTGCGAAAAGTTGCTGCTGAAATACTGACTTATTAATTTGGGTTGGGCCCTGACTCAGCAGATTTTCATGAATGAATGGATCAGACAGACTTATCTTTTTGTTACTTACTAAAGTATGATCATGTCCTCCTGTACCCTGGCAGTCAGGTAATGTTTGCTCAACACTATTAAAGTCAGACTGAATTTGTTGAGTGATGCTGTCTGGTGAAGTTACATTGCTGGTTGAGGTAGTACTGTTTAATGGTATCTCTTTTTCTTTTGAGAGTTTTTCACTTTCTAGTTGTCCGACTAAACTTGACACGCATATCTGAGAGCCTTCCCCGACCTCACTGAATTCTGGCTCCTCTTCTTCAGCCATGTTATCAGAAGTAGGCTCATCTCTAAATTCTTTGTTAATGCTTTCATCACTTTTTATATTTTCCAACTCATTTGCAGTTATCGTTTTCTCCCCCTGTTCCCTCTCTTCTTTGCACTCCATCTGAACAGACTCCTGGTTAACACTCTCCTCACATAAACAGTCATCTTTGCGCTTACGATGAACAGGATGAGATGCCAGTGTCATTCCAATACTGCAATCTAGTGTGGGAGCAATACTAGTTACTTGGCCACCATTGCCCGTGTTGTGTCCTTCTTGGTCTGTATTGTGTATGCCAAACCATTCGGGTTGTGCATAGTCCAAGTCATCTCGAGAAAGCACAGACACCAGGTTCTCTCTGCTCAGGAAAGCTTTCACTGCCTCTTCTATACAGAGCAAAATACCATCCCAATCTTTGAACTCTATTAGAGTTTTGGCAGGCTCAAGACATATGTCATACTCTGAGTAAGGGCATTTAATATTGATGATGTATACTCCTTGCAGCTCTTGGCTTCGTTTGTGCTTTGGACTCCTGATGGCAGACTGCCCATCTGGACTGTCATTTTTCTGATTTGAGCTGCTCAGTCTGCGTAGGAGAAAGTTCAGGAGCTTGTGTATGCGTGTTTTCAGGAGCAGTCTCTCATTTACATACAGGAACTGTAAGCTGTTGTTGTAGTGGCCTTCTTTGCCAATGTAACCAACCACTTCAAACTGACCGTGTGTGTAGCTGACTTCTCCAAGTTTCTGTGCTCGCCCCAGGCTGTGTATCTGAACAAACCTGTGGTAGGTGTTCCTTGCTTTTGGGAGCTGCACCATCATGGCTCCTGTGCAGTCGTTCTTCAGTGTGAAAGACACAGAGGGATGCATCAGAGAAATAGCCTCCACTCTGTGCCTGATTCTCTCTCCCTCCAGCACAGCATCCATCCTCTTCCTCCGGACTGGCATGTTGTGGAGGAAGTTACAAATGACAACAGTTGTTCCTGCAGAGGGCCGAGCAGTCTCTGCCTCAAACACGTTCATGCATTTACCATCCTTGAAGATTTTAACGTGAGTTTTCACTGATGATCTGGTCCGGGATGAGATTTCAACTAGTGTGGCTAGAGAGACTATACTTGCAAGGGCTTCTCCTCTGAAGCCATACCACCTGAGGTTGTCCAGGTCTTCCACGGAGCTGCATTTGCTTGTGTAGTATCTGTTTCCCACGCACTCCATATCCTCAGCGCTCATCCCGGTGCCGTTGTCGATCACCTGAACTTTGAACGCCTCCATGTCCATCCTGACTCCCACACAGGTCGCCTCGCCATCGATGCTGTTGAGGATAAGCTCCTCTAAGCACTGCTGGAGTGACGGGATAGCAACTCCGGAGCGAAGTTTCCCCTGAACTTCTTTAGACAAACACTTTATCATGGTGCTCATTATATTCAGTTCTCTTGTGCATTACCTTTCCCGACTGAATACACAGTAACAACTCAGCTGGTTTAAAACTGACCGTTGCTTGCTAACGTCCACTAGCATTAGCTTAACGCTAGCTAGTTCCGCGACGTCCAACGACAGTGACATTTCAACCGCGTCACATTAAAAAAAGGTTGTTAAATCAGATAATTAAAATAAACTATCGAAAAACATAGTAAACTAAATCTTAGCTAGTGTTTACAGTCAACGTGTAACAGCAAGAGGTGACCGTTGCAGCTAGCTGCTAGCAGCAGAAGCTAACAGTGCCATCTTCTGGCGTGAAGGTCCCACAGCTTAACCGTCGTCGTCTTCTTTTTCTTTTGGTCGTTGGCAAATTGCAACAAGCGTTTATTGTGCATACCGCCACCTACTGTACGGAGTGTGCTACCTCATGTGTTTACTGACTATTTTAATTGTCACTCTATTATCCTTGTGTTTTAAAGTTTGCAACATAAGTTAAATACAAGTATCGCCTTATCACAAATAATACAATTATTAATCACAAATAAACTTAACAAATAGCCATTATCATTACTACTGGTTCTAGGGGGCCTATTACTGTGCACAGAATTAGCGTACCCTGCATAAGCTGTTGCTCAATCACTGTGGGTAGGTCCAATCACTGTCAGACACTACTGTCTCTCTTTTTCATTACTTTTATTATGACATTATTTAGGTAAGAAATATTGCTAAGCTCAGGTCTGTGGTGTCTCGCCCTGAGCTAGAGATGATTATCCATGCTTTTGTGTCCTCCCGACTGGACTACTGTAACCTATCTTTTTACTTGTCTAAACAAATCTTCTCTGAATCATCTTCAAATAATCCAGTAGGCTGCTGTTCAGCTGTTAACCAGGTCCAACAGGTCACTCCCACTTTAGTTTCTTTACACTGGCTTCCCATCAGGCTCAGGATTCACTTCAAGGTACGTGTTCTCACATATAGAGCCCTCCACGGTCAGGCACCTGAATACATTAGTGATCTCCTCCATCCATATATTGTCAGTAGGTCCCTTAGGTCTGCAGACCAGGACCTACTGGCTGTCCCACTCCAGACTCAAAGGAAAAGGTGATTGTGCCTTTGAATTGGTGGCTCCAACACTATGGAACTCTCTTCCATTAGAAGACTTAGTCTGTCTTGATTGTCTGTGGTCTCTCTCCCAAGACCCATCTTTTAAAAAAGGCCTTTGTCCCACCCAAAATTGTCTTGTGCTTGTTCCCTGGTATGTTTCTGTTTGGGCCTCAGTAGCCTGTTTTGCTCTATGCATTACTTTGTTTTTGTTGCTTTGTTTAATTTGTTATATTGCCATTATTTTTTCTTGATTGCACGTTTTATTGTTTGATTGTGTGATTGTGTGATCGTATTTTGTGAAGCACTTTGTGAATTTCATTCATGTAAAAGGTGCTATATCAATTTTTTTTTTTTAAATGTATTAAAAAGTGGAAAAACTAGAATGTAATATGAGTAGCCTAGGCTATATCGTTGCTGATTGTTATAGTTTTTGTAAAGTAAAAAAAGGTAATCAAAAAGTTATCATAGAATGTCATAAAGTCATTAAAATTGTTATATTATAATATGTCATCAAAAAAAAGTCTTCACAAGTCATAGTGAGCAATTTTCCTGCACAGCCAAAAGCCATAAGCTGGCTGCTGAAAATGGCACTCAGTCATCAAATCTTTAAAAACCCCTGATCTAAGATTTTGGTTTCAAAATGTACCAGAATGGTCAGTTTAGCCGTTTCTTAAAATTTCTCCCAGGGGGGTGGGGGTTCACTTAAGACCTAATGGAGGTTTGGGTTGCTGAGAGTATTGTTACAGCCGTGATGTGGGCAACCATGTTAATTCTTATTAATCCCTCCAGATTCCATTTGTGGGCCATGTTATATTTTGTCTTTATGTACTGCCCTTTCTTTCCTACATAAACGTCAATATGTCCAAGGTGAAAAGGTGTACAGGTTTTACAGATTTATTTTGCATGCCATGTCTCCTCTCTACCTCAACAAGTCTTGTTTGTTAGGCCTGTGAATTCATCATGACAGTCTTCACAAGAAAACATCCCTAATTAATCAAATTAACACAAACTGAAATTAATTTGACTCTAATTATTTGGTTGTATTGTCAGTGTTTCTGCACAGCCACCAGCAGAGCTCGGTCCTCTCCAAAGGAGGGCAGCAGCAGCATTCTGATGATTATTTAGCCATTCATCAGGCTCCCCTCTGAATCCTTCACTTGGTCTTTGTGGGGGCTGATGAAGATGGTGGCGACAGATTGCAAGGTCATACCATTGCCTGTATGCTCAGCAAGATGTCTGCTGGACTCTGGTTTGTTTGCAAATGTCCCCTTCAAACAGATTTACAGTCTGTTAACAGGCTCTGCTAAATAATGTGGTCGCCTCATCAAGTATATCCTTTTTTGCTGTTCTTAGAATAAAAGTCAAACATTGTGAAGGCAGCTGAAAAGAGTTTCCATTTATTAATCTAATTCCATATATTGTAGATGTTAAGGATATGTAATATCAACACATCTTTTCAGTTTCTATACTTTAGCTGCATTCCAACCAAGTAAAAATACTAAATAAATAAACCATCTGTGTCAAAGTTAGCAGGCTATTACAGGCACAATCTCAGGGTAATTTTATTTTACTACTTTAAAAGATGAGTGTTCAAGGCTATCCACTGTCTTCTCATTCATGAACTCTGCCTTGATTATGCGTGACTGTGGGCTCCCGGTGGATTTCAGCCATTCTTGCATTTGTGTCACCTTGCTGCGCGGGCCTTGAAGCTGCCCCTGAACGGTTCCTGCGCCTGTGTTTTGGACCCATCCCACCAGGCCAAGCTTCTTCCCTTCTGCCTGGAAAATGAAACATTGCATATTAGAAGATAGCAGAGGAGGGCTGCTGATGGAGAATATGGCTGTGATGGGATACTGGGAGTGGAATTTTAGTTACATAAGTTGTACAGGATGAGTCTTTAACAATGTGAAGAGTTTGATCTCTAAGCATTATATACAGGACAGCACCTGTTTGTCTTTCTACAGCTAAAAGAAATGAGTTTGAAATGTCACAGCCTTCATCAGTACATGATGTTTGAACTCCATCTGCAAGACTGTGAGATGCGTTTGAAAGCTCCAAAAAATGCACTAGTGAATGAACCTTGAGATACTCATTTCTTGCCTCAAGTTTGACATTTTAGCCATTGCCATCTTGTTTTTTGGAGCCAAAAGTGACCATATTTAGACAAGAGGGTGGCATAGTGGCAGAGCAGGGGGATGGGTATGACTCAGACTGTCGCCATGCCTAGCAGACAGTCTTTCACCCAAGCGACCCTGCCCTTAAATATACACAACTTTGAGGCTTAATAAAATGTTAACGGGAAAGTTATATAGAAATTCACCCCTGTTCAGTTGTTATGAATGTTGAAATTAGCTATACAGACCAAAACCATTTTTTGTACCTAGCTGTTTCTCTCTGCAATTAAATTAGGCATTTTAACATGGGGTCTATTGGGATTTACTCTGTTTTGGAGCCAGCCTCAAGTGGCCATTTGATGACCTGCAGCTTTTGGCATGTCTGCATTGGCTTTATAGTTCAGCTTCAGGGCTGAAAAAATAGGCCCTAACCATTTTTTTTTGCTTTATATTCACACCAAATTCAGGTATCGGAGCCAATGCAATGAGCAAACAGCTTGGAATAGCGAGTTTCCTAAGCAAAATGCGTTTTGCACCACCCCCTTCTCCTTGACAAGTAAAGTACAGTCCCTAACACTGAAACGACTAGTCATGTGTAGGCTAACTTTGTGTCGCTGTCAAACTCACTTGAGTGTATTTCCGAAAAAATACACCTTGCACTCTGCCAAATATTTCATAATCCACTGAAACCAGGTCTTCTTCGGACATAGTGGACCTAGAAGAGGAGAAACAAGACACTCCTTGGTGCTGTGTTGTGTCTAAGGGACCCATGACGCATCGCGTGGCTACGTTACAGCTACAACAACCTAGTTCAGCACTATTTATTTAATATCAAACTGCTTCAGCCTGGTTAATTAACATATCTAGCTTCCTATTCATGCTGTATGAGCTAGCTCTCTGTCTGTCAAGTCACCTGAATGTCGTTAAGATGCCGACGACAATCCAGCTCCACAGGATCACTCGCTTTTGAAACATACGGGACTCCACTTCCGGAAGTGACGTACTGTGGACGTTCATGCAGTGGACCAATCGGAGAATACCCGAGATATTCGGTTTCTAGGCAACGAATGTAAACGATGGGGAAATGAGTCGTTATCAGTTATTATGACTATCACCCACCGAGTGGTTTTATAAGTAGATAGCTAGGTTAGCAAAACTCAACCTTAATTCAGACGACATTTAAAAGGTCAGTATGTGTTTGAAAATGTAGACGGTGTTTTTCGTGGGTAAAATTTGTCAACTACAGATGAAGTACTAAGTCTAAAGCTCACTACATTTTTTCTGACTATGACCTCTATCATTTGGCTAGCAAATGTCAGCCAAGAAATGCTACGTAGGCAATGTTTTGTTAAAACATTACACTGTAAAAGTTTTTTTTTTTTACTCCTTTTATTTTTTGGTATTTTTGGAGTGGAACATCTAAAGATGGAGCTACACTACATTACAGAAAAAGTACATCTGCCATTAAATGTGGTAAAGTATAATTATATGTGGCATAAAAGGAAAGTAATCAAAAATATCTCAGAACTGATGTTTTTTTTTATTAGATGTGTTCAAGATTTCATATAGTGTGGGATTTACATGCAATCTTAGCCACCTGAAGACATCAGTGTTGTCTGTAAATGCAGTACTTACATGTAGTTACATTCATTATCATCATCATCATCATCATAATAATCATCAACATAACTGTACAAAGCTTTATTGTTAATATACGTACATGAGATTTAAAAAGACAAAGGACACTGATCACTAAGTTACTAGTCATTCAGTATTCATTCATTCATTACTACTGCTTAGGCTCATCTACAATTTGTGTGTCACCTCTAAACACCCAAACTTAAAAAGTATACCAGGTTCATGCAATTACAAAATATATATTATATATAAAAATATGAAATTAAATAACAAAAAAACAGTTGGTAGAATGACAACATAAGTGACCAAACACTACTAGAGACAGGGTTTCTCAGCCTCAACATGAAGAGTTCACAATCCACTGATATAACTTAAGTAGTGTATAAAAATGTTATCAATAATAATAATACTAATAATAATACTAGATTAATTCAACAGGTCAAGCATTTGTAGTAACTACTAACTCTTTGTGCAAGAAGGGGTTTTTAAATATTCTCGAGATTATGATTGTTTTAAAGAAATACTGTTGCGTATAACTTGAGCAAATTGGCTTGATTTCCTTTAAAAGCACGGGAAAAAGGCTATGAGCAATGAAAGGAGAAATGACCCAAAAACTTAGCAAGAAATTAGTAAAAAAGATAAAATTAAAAACAAGGAAATTAGTAAAAAAATAAAAAATAAAAATAAAAATAATAATAATAATAATAATAATGATAATAAAATTCAAAACAAACAAGGAAATGACCTGGAAAGAGTCCTTAAAAAATATAATAATTCTGTAACATGATTATAAATTTTAAAAGTAATTATATAGCTTTTCCTAGCTTTTTTCCCCCAATTCTTTAAAAAACACTTCCTAAATCTTTTTTTTTTTTTCAGTCTGTGGGAAATGTCACACCAAGTTGCTCATCATCTTTTTACCCATGTTTTTGAAAGAATTTGCACCTATTTGCACAAGGCTCAAAGGTTTACCATTACAAGAAAAGTGGTGTTTCAAAGGGTTAAACTTGATGGCATTTCTGATGTACTACTTCCATATACTAAGATAATGTGACCTCTTTTGAATGTGATATTGCACATAATTAATTACAGAGATGTAGTGATTGCAAAAGTGTATTGAGTAGGTCAACATGTTTCCACTGGAATTTCAGCTCAGTGGTTTCTCCCGTGTGTATTTTGATCCTCAGCCAGGAGCTTTTTAAAGTATGAGTCAGACTTTTCCCAAAAATGCTGTAATTATGTAGCTCCTCACTTCTGTTGGTTTTTGTGTGTTTACACCATGAACATCTAGGACTAAATTGCCTGCCACGTAGTAAAATACAAGGCTACATGCTTGCATGCGTTTTTATATGCCTTGCCAATTGAGATGCATCAAAGTAGCTTTTCCCGCAGGTCTTGCAAAGGTACGGCTTCTCACCAGTGTGGGCTCTTCTCATGTGGACCAGCAAGCGACTGTTATATCTGAAACCTTTTCCACATGTTTTACAAGAATAAGGATTCTCACCTGTGTGGATTCTTATATGAGCCTTCAATTCCGACATCCGAATGAACCTTTTCCCACAGGTGTTGCAAGGATACGGCTTCTCACCTGTGTGGATTCTCGTGTGGGCTATCAAGCTACAGCTAAGTCTGAAAGCTTTCCCACACGTTTTGCACAAATGTGGCTTCTCACCTGTATGGAGTCTTACATGACTCTTTAATTCAGATGTCCGACTGAATGATTTCCCACAGGTGCTGCAGAGATACGGCTTCTCACCTGTGTGTGATCTCATGTGGACTGCAAAGTCGCTGCTAAACCTGAAATCTCTCCCACATATTTTGCAAAAATATGGTTTCTCACCTGTGTGAGTTCTCATGTGGTCTATCAGGGTACTACCACGTCTGAAATCTTTCCCACACGTTTCGCACGTAAACGGCTTCTCACCTGTGTGGATTCTCAAATGTATAGTCAATTTTGACTTACACTTAAAAGCTTTCCCACATGTGTCACATTTTAAAGACTTTTTACCTGTATCAGTATTGAGTTGAATATTTGACATAGTAGGGTTGTATACAGTGTTACTGTGATCTCTGCTTTTGTGATTACTTTTCTTTGGTTCTACATTTCTGGTTGATCCCAAGTCTCCTTGCTCTTCTCTTTCCTGATCTTCGCTCTCGTCTACATGAGAGGTGTGAGCAAAGAGCTGGTGGTCACTGTTTGGTTCTGGTACAACCACAGAGCTTATAACTGGCATGTAGACTACAGACTGGTTTTGTGCTGCACTTAGAGTGTAATCAGGATTGAAGTTCAGAGTCTGTTCATTACTGTGGTCACTTTCCTCATCAGGAGTCCACACAAAGGCATCAATCTCCTCCTTCACTACAAGCTGCTCTCCCTCCTGATTGGTGCAGAGCTCCTCCTGCTCCTCTTTAATCTGAGGGTCCTCTTGGTCCAGACTGGAGCTCCTCTCCTGAGTACAGAGCTGCTGGTCATCGAGAGCCTCCTCCTGCTTACAGGCATGTTGCTGTGGGAGCTCTGGATGGCAGACATCTGAGCAAATAAACACGACAAGCATTTAAACCACCAACATCCCATGTGAGCCATACTGCTCTGCTGGTTCTTTAAATAACATGAGAGTTCTACACACCTACTCTGTGTAATTTTACTTCGGGTTTCCAGTCGGTATCCAACAGTCTGCGCTGACGGTCGATCTCCTCCTCGTACTTGACGATAGTTTTCTTAAAAACCCCGAATATTTCCTCAGTAGCAGCAGCAGTTAGTCGCTCCCGGAGAAACTCTCTAAAACACTGAGCTGAAGACATTGTTGCTTCATTAGAAATTAAATAATTATCAGCGCTACGAGTACAACATCACCTCCCAGCTAATTACATCCATAAAGCTAATGCTGCTAGCGCCTGTATTGTTTACTTCCGGTGGATGTCACACTGATAAGTTCCGGCAGCGGAATGAGTTAACCTTTGGTTCTGCCTTCATTTAGTTAAAAAAAAGTTCAAAATAATAATAATAATTTATTACTACTACTACCACTACTACTACTACTACTACTACTACTACTACTACTACTACTACCACTACTACTACTACTGATAATAATTTATTTTATTTTAATTTAATGTATCTATTTTTTTAACCTGGTTCACATGCTGGTGGATAGTTTAATAACTGGGCATCATATTTAATAAGCTTACTATATCAGCAAACTAACTAACCATCTAGTAAAATGTAGTGGCCTACAAAGTACAACATTTGCCTGTGAAATATGGTAAATTAGGTCACAAGTGTTTGAAATCCTAGCTATTATTTATGGGAAAATTTGTCAACCACAGATGGAGTACTAAGTTGATAGCACCTTGTTACATTTTTTTCCTGACATATCATTCAGTCAGAAAATCCATATCCATATTTATGATGCAGGCATCACAAAGGGGCCCATTTGTAATGTTTATGTTGTCAAGTTAGAAAATGTCTATAGGCTTGCCAAAAGAAAAGAAAAGAAAAGAAAAATCCGCTCAAAATCCTCTTATACTTGCTTGTTCTAGAGTTTTCCATCGTATTACATGGTCTTCATCAGTAAATAGGCTTAGTTAATTTGTCATGTAGCCATAGACGTTTGCAACATTCAGAGCACTTTTAGGATTTCTCCAATTACATTCATACTTCATTAACAAACTTCATTTTCTGATTACCTTTGAAGAATATTTGGGAATTTAGGAGAGTCTGTTTCAAGGATTTAATGAACTCAGTGGTGTGTCAGTTAGGACAGATGAGCACAAGCAGTAGGTTACAATTCACTCTTTTATTTTAAGGTTTGAGCTGGTTTTCTAAAAACAAAAGAAGACAATAAAGAATATTAAACTAGACATCATGATTCCTGATTTGTTATAATTAACAATCAACCAAAGGTAATTTAACTTCATCAGTTAATAATGCTGTGTAATCTGGTTGAAAGCTACAAAACGTGAGTGAGTGGACCTAGAGTAGTCAACGGCTGTTGTCTTGGTCAAGGATTGATTTCAAGTTAAACCTGTACAATGGAATTTATATTTTTAGCCCATGCCTTCATAGATTTTATCTTACCAGGCTGTTATTTGTTCTGACTTTATTTTTTTTCTATGTTCAGACAAGAAGCTAATGAACTGGAATTGCTTGGGTAACTTGAGACTGACTTGGGACTTGGGGTAAGTTGATTTAGTCACACCTGTGCTCCTTTTTCATGCAAATACTTAAACACTGCAGATGCCAGCTTTGTTCCAGCAACGTTTCCTTTTTTTATTCTTACTTTATTTTTGGGCTGTTTCTTTTTTCCTAGAAATTATACAGGGAAAAAAACTCAGTAGCTGGTGTGGAGAGCTTGAATGACTTTCATAAAGTTCTACAGAACAACAGCACAGCCTGAAAGACAACAGATGAAGTCATGAACACATACACAAGAGGAAGACCTCAAGGGCAGGACAACATTGCAGAAAAAAGACATGGAAATGTTTATACTCAAGGACAAGATGGAGTTGTACCTGGGAGGAGAGAGGATGGAGCAGACAGGCCATTTCCAAACAAGCCTGTCAGCCACAGACGGCCTCTAAACCCTGGGAAACAAGACTCATTTAACTTGTATGATTTGGACAAAAAAACTATTACAAAACAACCAAGAGGCCAAATGCCGCCCCGAGGACATGATTCAAAGGACATCAGAGAGACTACTGGATCCCAGCATCCAAGAAAACACTCTCAAAGACAACCTAGCGGAGAACTGGAGATGGCCAAAGCAATTCATGCAAAAGAGCTCATGCTACAAGAGAAGCTGTGGAGCGTTGAGGAAAAAATTAGACAAAAAATCCAAAGAGACACCGCTGTCGGTTGTGACCAAAGGAGCGAGGAGCAGAGGCTCGACAGGAGACAAGCAGAGAGGGGACACGCTCAGACAAAAACCAGGCTGTCTGAGCAGCAGAGGAGAGAACCAGTGAGAAACAGAGAAATGATGATGCAAGAAAGAAGACAGGAGGATGTGAGACAACATAGGAAGAGTCAAGATAGGAGGAACAAGGACAGAATGAGGAATACACACGAAGAAGGATGGAAAAGAGGGGAAATAGACGTTGCACAAACAAAAGGTCATAAAGGAACTCATCAGATCACAGATCCCAAGCAAGAAGAGAGTGGAGAGCTGAACAAATCAAAGTGGGAACATACCAGAAGAAAAGGAGGGGATGAAAAAGATAACAGCATTTGGGGGGAGACAGGTTTGAGGTTACAGGATGGCGCAATGAAAGCAAAAGAGAGAGAACAAAATACAACCTCTATGACTGAAAAGAAATACACGGACAGGACAAGTAAGGAGATGTTTGACTTAGACGTTGAACGAGACATGCCTCAAATGAATCAACAGAAGACTCCTCACAAAGCTACAGCAGAAAACCACAGAGGTGCAGGAAGAAAACTGTCTGAAGGACCATCGTCTCCACCTGTTTCTCACCCCTCTCACTTCAGCAGACCAGAGAAGGAGGAGCTGAGACAGGAAGACGACCGAGATGCCAGCCTCCAGCTTCTTCCTTGCAGAGTCTGCAACAGAAAATTTGCAAGTGAAAGATTACAGAAGCATATCCAAGTCTGTAAAAAGACGAAACAATCACAGCGTTCAGTCTTCAACTCCTACGCTAGTCGGACCAAGGGAACCGCCATAGAGGAGTTTTGGAAAACCCACAGCAGATCCAGGAGTCCAGAGGTAGGCCAGTTACATTTTGGGCTCTTTTAAAAGGCTGCCCTACCAATTTTTGATCACTTGTACGTCAATGGAGCATTGTTTTTAAGAGTGGGTCCCACATTACACAGTCTGCTTTACAAACTGGGGATGTAATGTTTGAAAGGCGTTTGAAGAGTCTGATTTTTAAGACCTGCAATATTGCCCCTGCCACACCACCCTTGCATATGACTAGAGTGGGAGAAAAAATCGATGCAGCATAGTATCGCGATATTTTTGTGTGGCAATATTGTATCATCACACAGTGCCAAGTATTGATTTTTTTTATTATATAAAATTAATCAATGCAAAAAATGGCTGAGATGAGATGAACAGACACAATTTTTTTATCTTATTAGATAATACAGATGTTGACAGACTTTTGGGGGATATAATTTACAGTTGAAAAAGGGTAATAAATCGCAATAATTCTTGTCGCAATACTCAGCATATCGCAACATATCTAAAATCACAATATTACTGTATCATGACTTCAGTAAAGTGATAATATCGTGTCGTGGATCCTCTGGTGTTTCCCGTCCCTACATATCACCAATTAGTTTAGCAATACAACCCGACCTGTCTGTAAGAGATCTGCAGTCCAACATACCATGAGTCCTTTAATAACTATCCATCTATCCATTTTCTAACCCATTATCCTCTTGGGGGTCGTGGGGGGGGGCTGTAGCCTATCCCAGCTGACACTGGGTGAGAGGCAGGGTACACCCTGGACAGGTCACCAGACTATCACAGGGCTGACACATAGAGACAGACAACCACTCACACTCACATTCACACCTATGGACAATTTAGAGTCACCAATTAACCTATCCCCAACCTGAATGTCTTTGGACTGTGGGAGGAAGCCAGAGTGCCCGGAGAAAACCCATGCTGACACGGGAAAACATGCAAACTCTGCACAGAAGGGCTCACGCACCCGGGAATGAACCAGGAACCCTCTTGCTGTGAGGCGATAGTGCTAACTACCACACCACCGTGCCACCCCTCCTTTAATAACTACGTACTGTTAAAATTATTTGGTAAGGCAGCATGTTTAAAGTGATCATTTTGGGGGCATATTATACATGAAAAATTATGATAATATAAGTTACAGTGGGGGTAAATACAATTGAATTAATATTTTTTCAACTTATTCTCATGATAGCAGCACATCTCCTCAGTTAACATCTCTGTTAGTCACAAACCTGACCGAAGGGACTCTCATATTCCAGCTGGCGAAGAAGACACAAACACACGTCAATAAATTAAGGATTAATACATTTAAATATTATTCCCCTTTTATTTAAATGTATTTATCATCCAACACCAGAGATCCATTTTCACCCAGAACTGAATGCGAAAATAAAATTAAGACAACATATCACCCGTTTATCACCTTTTTTGTGGCTTACCCACTTGGTACCTGTAGGTAACCTACCCAATGCAAGTCTCCAGCCAGGGAAGATACTTTTGGTTGCATTATGGGAAATGTATGATTCAGTTTCTTTGGCTTGTCTCATACTAGGGGACTATATGGAGGAATTTAATGCTAAATGTATGCTTTTAAATAGCATGTACTATTTTTGATGTATCTCATGTCTTTCTATTTAGGTTTTAAAGAAAAAGAACCCAGGACACTATCACAAGTCAAACACAAGGAACCTGCAAGAGGGTCGACTCCCAGCTGGAACCTCTCAACCAAAACAGTCCAAGTGAGCAGGTGACCAGAACTGATCTAGACACTTTGGCCCTGGACCATTGGAACAAGAAATCAGTCACACATCACCATCTCATTAGTCACTGCCGTCCCTAAATTGTTTGATTTAAACTCTTGTAAAAATGTTGTTACAGATCTCGTCTACATTGTTTGAATATACTCTCAATCTCAATCAACAAAAAGAAATATTGACGATACACGCATGACAAAAGACAGCTGTTTTATTTATGGCTTTTACACGAAGCGTGAAACAACAGTGTGACTGTGAGATAACTGTTTATACAACTGGTACATCTCCACAATATTTGGTTAGCTGCTGAAAAAAATAAACCATATTTCTAAATGCTGTTGACACACTGCATAAAATATTCACAGAAGGCACAGCATTGTCATATTTGCACTAATTTTGGTTTCAATAGCTTGCTAAGGCACTCTGGCTACATTTAACACTGCATTTTACTGCATGAATATACTGCCAGTGTTATAATGCAGACATCTGACAGCTCAAAACTAGGACAAAGGGTTTTACACACACACACACACACACACACACACACACACACACACACGTGATAATTGCACAATAAACCAATGGACATTAAACAAACAAAAAAAAATGTAATTGCTCTGACAAATGATGCAAAATACAGCAAAACAAAAGTTCAGAAAGTACCAAAGACAGAAAAAAAGGTTAAAAAATGCACTGAGAAAACATTATAGCTGCAAGTTCAGCTATATCAGAAATGCATCCACGTTGAAGGAAAACTGTTCAAGTGTTCATACATGTCACAATGAGGATAGACCTACGTGTGCTGCCCCAACAAAGATTCAAGAGTCAAAGAAGGCAATAAGAAAAAGTAACTAAATATAGCTGTTAAAAAATGAATCAGTAGTTTCATGTTTCACACAAATACTTTCATACAACAATAAAACATGCAAATTAAAACAAAACAAAAAACATATATATTTGCATGAAATATTCAGATTATGTTTGTAATAGCTAACATGTCTGATAAATATAGGATATTCTGTATTTGGCACATTTAACTTTTTAGGAATATCAAAAGAAATGAAAATAATTAAAAATAAAGTGATACAAGTATATTTTCATATGAGACAGCGCCACATCATCAACATCCTGGCGGCCCATCACTCAACAACTGACAAGAGGAAACCTTAATCTTTGGCATTAGCAAACCGTTTCCATAGTTTTCCTTATTTTACCTGTTATTTGTAAAACGTGAGGCACTAAGGACTGAAGCCTCGATGCTGACATCACCTAAAGTCAAAAATACCACCAAAACATAAACTTAACATTCACATTGCAGAGTAACACTATGATGATTGTCTCTCACGGGTGTCAAGGACCGACGCGTCATGTTGAATCCAGCCAACATTCCAGTCTGTGAAGAAACTAGCTAGATCACTGCACCCAGGTGAACACACGTGTGCAAGGTATTATACAGTATTCTGTAACAGAATGTCATCATGCATCCTAGCGCTCTGTCAAACATATATACCGTATGTAACCACCGTGAATGGCACAAGGCTGCACCCTCTGCTGCACATCTGACCGGCTTGATTAATTCAATATGTGCTCAGAGTTTTGACACTTCTCCCATAATCAGGACATCTGCAGGTTCAGTCTCACACGCTGGCCCCTGCAGGTCGGTTTGTGAATCCGCCTCCTCGCTCTCCTCCGTCCCCGGGCATACGGGCATCAAGGGGATGGTTTCTGTTATTGTCACAGCCTGGTTCCCGTGGCGTTGAACGATTGATTGCAGCCCAGAGCCTTTCGTTCTCCTTCTGCTGCTCGGTGACCTAGAGGCGGCAGTGATACATGCTGTTACTCATGCACAAAGCTCAAAATCATCACTTAGGCAAGCAGTCAGCTTTTGGGAAAAGAAATTTCTCACCTGCTTCTCGAGCATCTGGATCCTCATCTCCTGACGAGCGACCGTCTCTCGCAGCTGCAAAAATAAGCTCTTCTGTCAGATACTGTGGTAAAACTGATTAGATCATGATTTGCAGTGCTGAGAGCGCAGATGTGATACCTTTGTGATCTCACTACTCGCTTTGCAGCATGCACCTGATTCCCCTTTTTTGCAGACGTCAGCGTCCTCTAGTCCATTGACTTTATCACAGCTCATTCGCTTAGTCTGGGAAAACAGTGGATGTGCTTCAAATCGCAGTCTAACACAGTATAAATATCAATATTGTGAAATTCCGAAGTGTTTTACTTGGAGAGCATAATTCAGCTATGTTGACATTACCGATAGGCCTTTCTCAGTGCCGGCTGCTGCTGCAGCAGCCGTTAGCTCTTTCAGCTCCTCATATGGTAGAGTGACACTTTGGGAGTAAGAAGCGAGCTGGTCAGGAGTGAATTGCTCAGGGTCATCTGGCATCGGGATGAACTCTGCATTCTCAAGCTCCTGTTGGATGAGAACACTGTGAGCCAAACAACTGTGTCGTGAAGTCACGGTTATTTATTTCAATTTATTTAGCCATCTGTCCGTAGACTGTTGTCCTCCATAGTGCTCTGTTAGCAGCAGCGTGGATTCTGCTCAGCACTTTCATCACTGTGGATCTGAAGTTGTCATTGTATGTCGCGTTCAAAGACACTGTGATATCCAATTTGGGTGGCCAGAGCAGCTTAACTTTGAAGTGGAATCATATTTCAAACCACTTCCAAATGTGGTTTGGATCCAATTTGCAAAAATCGCATTTCATGTGTTTTGCTGACGAGACTTTCTAAACTTAATCTGGATGTGCAAAAAACAGATTTGGGCTGGCAGTCTGAACAAGGCCAAAGGTTTCCTTATACCTTGGTGCTTTCATGATAACAAACCTTTCTAAGCCAGAGGGGGCAGGAGCTGTCCCCTGTCTGATTTGCCAGTGACATCATCGGGGTCTCCAAGAAACACTCCTCTGTATTATCCTCCATTGTGCCACCAAGACCCCTGAAACGACACTCTGTCTCTGAACCAGGATCCATGTCCAGATCCACTGTGGATGTAGATGCCTCCTGGCCCAGTCCTGCGTATATGACACACGTAAACAATGAAGTCTTGCAGGTGCAAACGTAGACTTGTTATTCAAGCAAAATACACAAATTAGTGATCAAAGACAAGAATTTACCACTACCGACTGATAGTCCACTGCTGTTGGAGCGAATAGTCTTGGAGTTGAGCACTTTCTCTGCAAAGGACAAAATATATCAGACAGCTGGTTCCCGCAGCAGTACACTGTGCAAGTGTCTGGTAGTGATTACTAACCCATAATGATAATGGTGTGCCAACCACGGCAAGAGAGGTCCGGTACATGGTGGAGGGAACCAAAGATAGGCCTTGGCATGGCAGGGCATACCTCTGAACCAAACCCTTTGTCAGCAGGCATCCCAAGTCGCCCATTTCCTGCGTTTCCCCATGCAAAGATGTGATTGTCTGCAAGAAACAAAAAAAGTAATGATAGATCCTCAGGACCAAAAATCTATGGCTTCTGGATGCACATAAAAACCTCTTACCCTCAGTTGCCGCGATGGTAAAGCCGTCTCCACAAGACACTTTGGTCACAGTCTTCCCTCCAAAGGGTCCGACAAGGAGCTGGACACCCTGGTGTTTCTTGAAGTCCTTCACACCCAGCTGCCCATACTTGTTGCAGCCAAAGGTGATCAGGCGACCACGTACTGCAAAGACAGATAATGTGTGACATTGATGTTTCTTTGAAGTGGTGACAATTTTCACTTACAAGAGAAATATCAGCCTCTTTTTACAGTACCATCAATGGCAGCTGTGTGGCTCTTCCCTGGAGCTATGGTTTGAATTTTGAAGCGTGCCAGCTGCTTTACCAAGGTCAGTGTGGTGATGTACGGGATGCCCTGGTATCCCTGCTGTGTGGTACAGAAAAAAAAATATATGTAAATGGCTGCAACATGCCCAACAGTATCCATTATTACAGTCTTGTGTAACCCACTACCTCTCCCGGGTGGTTTTTGAGACCACAGATTCCCTGATTCAGACCAAGCTTGTTGAATTCATTGTTTCCACAGGCCAGGACTTTGCCAGTTTCTGTTAAAAAGAAGGTTCCATCGCTGGCACATGACACTGAGGAGATGGTAGCGCCTTTAGGGATCGTCACCTGAGGAAACCAGGAAACAGACAGTGCTTTTGAAATAAACAGCTTCAAATAACAATATCATGTTGCTTCAGACAGGGAACAAAAACTTACTTGCATCGGAGAAGAGAAGTCATCCTCACATTCCAGGCCGAGACGCCCTGTAGCAGGAAAAACAGAGCAATTTGTGACAGAAAACACTTAGTGTGATTGTGTATTAAAAGGGCCACTATCTCCACCTGCTGGCCGCCGTCATAACAGCAAAAACAACCTGACAGCTCAGAGCATTACTAAATGTAGCAACTCTACGTACCGTACTCTCCGCAGCCCCAGGAGTAGATGTCCCCATTCTGAGTCAGGACCACCACATGGTTGTCCCCACATGAAACCTGACGAACAGGCCTCTCCTCAAAAAACTCCAGAAGCACTGGCTCCAAAATCTCCACGCCGAGCTCACCCTCCACGCCAATGCATCCGTAATAGTCAGACCCAAACATGTACATCTGGTCCTCATCTGCAAAAGCAGCAGCAGCAGGTTCAAAAATTGTGTTTTTTACAGGAAAAGGTTTCCACTCAAGTTCCTGCTTTCCTCACTCACCGGTGATGCAGGCGGTGAAGTCAGCCCCACATGCCACCTGCCGTATTGCCTTCCCCTGTAACCTCTCCACCCTCCTTGGCTGCCGGTACGAGGCCTGGTCTCCCTGCCCCAGCTGGCCCACCATCTTGGCTCCACCTTGGACATTCTGAAGAGAAGATTGGGAAAAGCTCCTTGAAATGAAGCACAAGAGCAACTGGATCCAGTTTTTCCTTCTCATACCCCTTTTCCACCAACATGAAACGGACTCTGTTCCAGTTCCAGTTCCTGCACCTAACGTTGAACCTTTCT